TTAATAGTTAATAATAAATCTCCTCTATCAGCAGTAGGCATGGTGAAATAGGAGCACTTATTACTTATACAATTACTGTATGGACATAATTTTCCGTGTAACGACAGTTTTATTAAAAACAATGAAGGGGCACGTTGTTTTAGAAATAGCTCAGAAAAAAGTCCCTCTGCAAACGTTAACGCTGTAAGGGATACCAATAATTACCTTTGTTTTATATATAAGATTTTTGATTTCGTTAAAAAAGTTATTTAAACAAAACAGACACTGACATATCAAAGTAAACACCTCAGTATCGCAAAAACGTCTTAGCATCAAGACACGAATAACTTTCAATTACAAAACTACGTACAAATTATACCTAGCTACACCCTCTAAGTAAAACCCTAATTTTCCGTCTAATGTGTTTCGCAAACAGTGTTTTTTCTTAATTAGCCACAAACATAAATTAATTTAGGTGGCACTTAATGCGTGCGAGGTGCTCTAATTCGCTCGGCTTAAAGCAAAGACGTGTACCATATAGACCTCTTGAGTTATTTAACTAATTTTACATGCGGGGTAAGTTTTAACCCCACTAGCACGTTTGCTATATGACAGTGTAGAGTAATTTAAGGTATGATTAGTTGTATTTAGCTAGCACGCCTGCTTTCTTCTTTTTATTTAGTCGATTTGACTTTTAATATAATTTTAACTTATTCTAGTATATAAAGAGCAGTATTGCCCCAGTGGCTTAAGCGTTCGAACCTCATATCTGCTGTGCGCTCGAATCATGGCTGTGACAGTGGTATTTTCTTTCCCTATTAACACTTGCTACTACGGTGAAGGCAAACATACGGTGAAGAAAACCGAAATGTCTCAAACCCAATAATCGATGACATGTATCAGACATAGAAGGTTAATCACCTACCAGTTTTATAAAAAAAATATCTAAGAAACGGATGCTATTTTTAAATAAAATAAATAAAAATAAAATATGTTTATTATGGAATACAAGAAACAGGTATCACTTAATCCACGTCATTAAATTTAAATCGGTAGACATCCCTACTCATCGGCAAAGAAAACAAAGGGTGTAGGCCGAGAGAAAAAGCCAGCGTAAAAAAACTCTCGGTACTGTTTTAAAATAGCAAATCATCAAACAACACTTATTTTAAAACAAATATCGCAAATTAATTAGAAGTATCCTATCTAGCACTAGTCCCAGTAAATTTATTAAAAGGCAGAGATAAAAGAGCCTCTGGGATTTTATTAAAGAAAAGTATCCCATTTCTCAAAAAAAAGGGGAAACGGGGAAATTGCAGCCTGCGTTTGTTCCGAGTATGGACTACTACTATGGACTGTTTACTAGTAGGTATATGAACAAATATTACATACAACACTCTTCGTTATAATTAGTTTTAAGGTAGATAAATATTGTTAAATCGGGCCATGATATGGAAGTTAACATACTTCATCGTGTATAACAATTATTTAAAACTATGTTACACAAAAATAAATCTAATTAATGTATTTATTTAATTATAATTCAATTTATAATTCGAATCATAGTACCCGACAATTTTGTACTATGCTCCCTACATATTTGTTTTCCTAGAACGTGTGCGGAACGAGTTTCCGCGATGCCTTGAAGATAAACTAGATACAGCCTTCGAAATTAGCACTGACACTGAACCTATCTCTCGTGTACAAACATTCATTTAACTTGATGTCTGCTAACTAGATTGCTGCTTGTGGCATTAAGCATTAGACGGTATTACATCAATAATTTAATTTCTTCACTAACATTAAGAGAAATTATTTGGAAATATATATTAATAAAGCCGATTCATCACCGTCATCAGCCATCTTAGTAGGTCCTTAATTTTTCTCTATTGCATCGCATTGCATCTTTTGCATTCATTTGCAACCTGCATGCTTTGTCATTTCGGTGACCGGTCAAGTGGTGTTCTGTTTTGCCTTTCCATTCTCCATTACATTGTCCAGGTCCAGGTCCTCCATTCAAGGAACCTGCGGCTCCTACAGGTCTTCTCCATGCGCGCTATATGGCCCGCCCATCTCCTTTTTAAGGTAACATAATCTTAGTGACTACATTACATTACATCGGTATTTTCTCGAATAACTTCAATACGAATACGGTCGGGAGATCCAAGGCATTGTTCTCTCTATAGCGCTATAGAGCTTATAAGTCGCACATTATAGCGCGACATAAACGGCAATTTTCAGGCTCAAAATAGAGAAAGGATTTAATAGAAAGTATAGTTTTTTTTACAAAAGCTCCGCAGACTGATACATTGGTACGTAAAGAAAATAAAATAGAAGATTTAATGTGACAGGATAAGCAAACATAACAAACACGAAGAGAGAAAAAATACATCGATTCATAAATTATAAAATCTAAAGAAACATAAATTTCAATATATGATATAATCCAATAATATTTCCCTTATATTCATCTAACGAACGACATCTTTTACATTATTATAGTTCCCAACGCATATATTTTTTTATTTTAATTCTACCTTGTATGTACATAAAAGCAGCAAAATGACACAATAATTAAATTATTAAATACATATATTATAGAAACGAAACATAAAGTAATATAAATAATCTAATAATATTATTTCATCTACGTTAATGAAGTTTTATTTTGAATGTTTCTTTGGTGCTTTCCACACACATTAAATTGCTTATCACATCTTTTACTAAAATATAAAATAGCTAACAAAATTTTATACATAGAAAAATATTTGCTACGTACAACAAATTTTGTAATAGTCCATAATACCTTACAGCAATATGTAGAAGATATCTCGCATTATTCAGTGTCAACAGGACGTGCGCCATAATATATGTTTTAATAAAACGGCACGAAAGAGGTAGGAATCAAGAGCGATCTTCGATATATTATTGGTACAGGCACCCTTATAAATCCGGGTTTCGGCATTAAATCATCTTCGTCCCTATGAGTGCTTTTTTTATAGATATCTTAAATGCCAGTTTTGGCTTTATCTATTATTTTTCAAAAGTAAACTGGTTATTTAGTTAATTTAGATTTATTGTTTAACTGACTTATATTATCTCATTATAAGTACTTGGTTATCATTAAACAATATGGCGACTCATTGGTCTAGTGGTTAGTACCCCTGACTGCGAATCCATGGGTCCCGGGTTCGATCCCCGGTTGAGACGAACATCGATGTGATAAGCATTTGGTGTTGGGCTTAGGTCTTGGGTGTTTAAATATGTATTTATATGTTTACCTATCTATAATATGTATTATATCCGTTGCCTAGTACCCATAACACAAGCTTCACAAGCTTAGCATGGGACTAGGTCAATTGGTGTGAATTGTCTTTAAAAAAAAAAGTTAAGGTAGAAAAGTAAAGAAGAAGAGATAATTGCATCATAAAATTTATTAATCTTAGTCTAAAAATTGTGATTTTTAGACATTAATACCTATTTCAATCTCACAGTGAATAAATAAATCACGTGTTAGCATCTTTCATAGTTCGTGAGTATAACCTCGAAGTCCGTCGTTACACAACTGAGCGTTTTTTAAGGAAGATTTTGCCACACGCCACCACTATGGTGAACCAGTTCCCCACCGAAGTATTTCCGAACCAATTCGACTTAGGGTCCTTCAAGAAAAGAGCGAACCAATTCATAAAATGCCGACAACGCACTCGCGAGTTCCCTGGAATTGAGCGTGCCCATGGGTGGCGGGTATCACTTAACATCAGGTGACTCTCGTGCCCGTTAGTTTGTTCTATAAAAATTAAAAAATGATGAAGTCCAAATCAAATAAGAAATATTGTATTATGTACGTACGTCAACCATATGAGCCAAAAACTAGTACATTTAACAAATATCATGAGCAATCCAGCAGAAGTGACGATAAAAAAATTACATAGGTGATGGACTAATTCAATGGTTGGTAGAGTTCATGACAAATCTGAAGATTCTGCGGGTCACATACTTAAATAATTTTGATTAGGATCAGAAAGTTTTATAAATTACTTCGCCCTAACGCGGTGGAAATTCTATTTTAAAAACCCGATAAGATATTAAATACATTAGATCGAAACTACCGAAAGCTATATATACCTATTACTCTTACGCCACTGACCTTCGTACTAGTAATTTATTTCGTCCCAAACAATAATGGAACGTTCCGTAAAAAGTGTAGAGCTACCCTTATCACGTTGGGACATCTTATTTGTCTAGTCACCAGTATTGTTTCCATAAAAATACGTATTATTACCAAGCCAGATGACCTAACAATAGCTTTGTCGGAGGTTCTTGCGTGTGACGTCATTGTAGATAGATAAAACACGTAATTATCTGTGCTTTATTGGTGCTAATAAATTACAAAATAGAGTATTTTAATAATAGCATATGTAATTCACTACATAAACAATTATTAAAAATATTTTGAATACGTATCACAGGAAAAAAATTTTTTTTTTATATAATACGAAAAAAAAATTAATCCGTTTATTTATTCACACTGTTTACACAATCAAATAATAATATTAAAAATAAACTTAAAAAGCGTGGTGCAACGCGGCCTTATCGCTAGTAAGCAATCTCTTCCTGGGTAAATAAAATAGTAAAAAAGCAAGGATTTGTTAGTTTAGTTTGGGCATATAAATAAGATTAACACGCCCAGAATCTCCTGTAATTTTCTTATTGAAAGTCTATACGAATGTGTTAATAGCATTGTCAGCATATTCATTTTATAACATGTTTCATTTAGCGATTTTATTTTAGTGCCTACTTTTTATTTATGTACAAAATCTTGCCAACGCTCGGCACACTATACTTACTGAAGAAAAATATAATACAAGATTTAATGCGACAAGCACTTATAGGCAATCCTAACAAACACGCAGACTACAATAAAAACATCGATTTATACATTATAAAAATAAAAGGAAACTTGATTACAAAGTGAGAGGGAGCAACTATGGATCTCGGTGAGTTTTACGTGATTCTTGCTACTACTCCATATTTCGTAGCAATGTAAAGAAGGAGTAAGCAGTATTTATTATCTGTAAAAAAATACACATTTTACAATTTGGAATCATTGTCTAAATAAAGTCATGACAGTTGTAGGCAACCAAATTCCGTGAAAAAAAACTATACATTTAATTAATTTTACCTTCCAGCATTTTAGTTGGATGGTTCTTATTACAAAAGCAATTTTGTATTAATATTAATTAGTAATTAGTTACAAAGCTAAACCCTTTCCAGGCCTCAGAGGGATTCACGCTTATAAATACTTGCCTTGATTGATTTTCATTTTCATTATTTTCTTTTTACAAATCTATATAGACCGAATTCACATAAATAATGATGTGACATGTTTCTAGGGGGCAAAACCTGATGTTAAGTGATACCGAGTGGGTTGCCGGAACTTGTTATTTTAATGTTTTCATAAGAAAAAACGTTTGATTGGTTGAATTCAGTTCAAAATTTTACATTTTGTTACATTTTATTAGACTTACTGATGTAAATGTACTAAGAGACATCGGAAACATCTTCAAACCAGTTATGGAAAGTGGCCTACTCGCCCTCTCCACGAAAATTCTCATGTTTCTTTTATAGGCACCAGGTTGAGGTGTCCAATCTGAGCTGTATATGGCTTGGGAAAGAAAACAACTCTGGAAATTAAAATTATGATTACGTACTAATATCATCTGATGTATGATTAGTAAGGCCCGCTATTCATAATATATTTTTCAAGCTTGTTTGAACCTTCAATACACGCACGCTATACATGATTAGGATATTTCATTTTATATAGTAAAATGTAGTCTTTAATTCATTATTTTTGATAATATGAGTAATTAAAGAAATTACATATCCAACATCCCCAGGGCAGGGTGTTTAAATACATAGTATAATCTTGTTTGCATCGGAAATTAATATTGAATAGTTTTTGTCACTCTTATACGATATGATATTAGATCAAATAATTTAGCCGGTATATCGTTATTTATTTATTATTCATAAAAATAAACAAATAAGGTACCTTATCCATAATTCGAGTTCCAAACCAGGATGGAACTAGGATTTGTATAATCATTATGAATATATATGTTCCGAGAAATATGTAATATTGCCAAGTGGAAGGCTGTAATATGAAAAAAATATAGACACAGATGTTATAACCTTGGTTTTGGGCATATTGCTGCAACCTTTCATTTATAATTATTTCTTTCACTCGTCGTCAATTTTTAGACTGTGGTTTCTCACGATATATAAAAAAACATCCATCTCAAGTGGGGTGCGTTCAGCTCGACTTTTTCTTGAAAATTCCGCGTAGATACTAGGTTCTAACACGACTTTAAATAAATTGAAAATAATAAAGGCAATGACAAGAATCAAATAAAAATTAAAGAGTTGTGTCTTTGGAAGGTTCTTGAGGGAGTATATATGTTGCATCAGTCGGCTCAAAGTCATACAAAGGTAAACAGCATATTATATGGTTTTTTCTGTGTAAGTAAACCATAAATGCGATTGGTAAAAAGGCACTATTGTATTTATTATATTATTTAAATATATCTACTTACCAACGTGAAACGAAATAAGCATACACAAATAACAGCAGATGCAATGCTGAATTGGACGAATAAAGATACACTAAATACTTCTTCTATCAGTTCACAAAACCTACAAATTAATACATATAACTGTGTACTTAAATCTAAATTTAAATATTTTAAAAATAAACTTCACCGTGGCCTTCTTGAAATCATTTGTAAATTAAATTTTATAATGAAAATCTGAAAAAGTACATATTTGTAATTTGTGTTTTTAAATACCTATTAGTATAATCGAGGTACTGCGTTCGATTCCGCGGAACAATAGCTTCGGATTGGCACGTTTGCCTTGAAAATATGAATGAAATGGACAAAGAACTATGTCTATGCGATGCCTACACATGACCAATTCTAAATATTTTATTCCTTCCAAGTTATAAATTAGAAAAATATTATGTAAACTTACTTTGCAACTTTGTTGTATCGCTCTAAAGAACTATTCAATTTCAGGATTAAATTTCTGTCAGCGTCTGTACACTGGGATCGATCATGGTTGATCGCAGATGGCATATTCGTAACATTTTTCAACTTCACAGCTAGAATATCCAATTGGGCCATCACGAGAATCATAAGACCGAGAATAAATGTATCGACATTTACATTGTTCAACATATGAAAATGTATGCCGATGCTCTGGTAGAAATATATGGGATAAATAAATGTATGGGTGGTATTCTCTGGTAAAAATGAGTAGCTACATACGGGGGGGGAGAGTGGAGCGCCAAAAATCAAATGTAATAGCAACGGTGATGTGACATGAGTTATATTAGATGTAAAGGATACCACGGCAACTATTCTCCAATAGGTGACATTAAATTTATTCGCTTTATATAAAATGTGGTGTTCCTCCTCGTTCTCTGGTTGAAATAAGTCACTTTTCAATATACTGAGTAGTTGGATAATTTTTTCTCTCATAAAAACGAATGTTAAGACTTTCGACACAACACCAACTGTTGTAAAATACAAAATAAGTTCTTCAATAAACAAATCTAGCTGATTTGGCATGAAAAAGAAATTGATTGAAAATAAAAAGTCGTATATAATTATAAAAACAATCACAAACGCAGTGGAATATATAAAATGAAATGTATTTTTAGGTTTCGGATGTATGCCTAACATATACCAAAATTTTCCATTTATTTGAAAACAATGTATCATGTCACCCATTGTATTTCCTCACGTGTGTGTGTCGTCGTGTTCTTAGCAAGTAAATGTTATACGAAACGAACTTCTTTGTTCAATAATTAGTGTAGTAAATAAAGGTCTGAGTCTTGTCTTGTTATTAAAATGCATTGACTTTAAACGTACGTTCATATTAAAGGGACTTGATAGTGTAAACGGCATTTAATTGACTTATTATAAAGAAAGACGGTTGTAAATGTTTTTTGTTAAATGTATATTTCGTATATAAGTCAAATCTTGCAATTTTTCTGCTTTAAATTAAGTCTTTAAAGCTAACCGTTATTACTTATGGGATGTCGACGATTATTTTTTTTTTAAATAAAGACCAGTCCCTCCGAGTTACTACCATATGAGATACTAATTATATATTTTTTACTTTCTAATCAAAGATCTTACAACACACAAATATAGTATATCTTTAGGCGTTTATCACTAAGAGATTTAAAATAAGGATTCGTAGAATCTTATAATTAACGTTAACAAAAGCCTATTGGAACCATAAACATAGTATGAAATGTTTGTTCCAAATTTGTTTATGATATGCGTGATACTGGGAAAATACAAACTGAATATAATTTTTAAATTGAAAATAATTCAATATTTTTGTATATGAATACTTGACAAAACTACCGCTAAGTTATAATGTAGTTTTGATCCTTCTATTGTCATCACGATAATAAATTGATTAAATACAGCCTTTTCATGAAAAACGTGAAGTTATTCTATGGTCAGACCACAAGTGGATAATTTATGCCACTACAGGTCGAAGTGTTTATAATATGAACGTTATAGAAATATAGGTTAATTGCTGAAAGCCGTATATTTTTTAATGAGATGCAATTAGTGAAGGTAACGTAGTCCACTAACAAAATGGTCTCGTTCTAATTACCAACTCGGTAAGAAATATTTTTGCCTTTTCTCTATCATTTATAATTTAAACATCAATTTTCCTTGAGTATGATGAAAATAGAATTTCGTATTTCCTTGTGATTTTTATAGTTTCCCGTTTGAAAACTCGCAATCAATCCACGCTTCGCTTCGTATGCAAACGTTTGTCTTTAAACACGTCATAAAGGATGTTTTGTTTAAATTTATCCGTGGCAATTTGGATTTCTAGAAAATGTATATAGATTTAGCAACATAAAATAAAATACTCTAAAGATAAAAATTAATTCGTTGTCCATCTTCAAAGGATAAGACAGGCTTAAGCTAGTTCGGTTTCAGTTTAAGACAACTATAATAATAAAAATAAACTATTTTAAGGCAACTAAATAAATAGTTTATTTTAAGTTAATATTGCAATAGAATCATTTATTTCCAATTTACAAAGAAATATAACCTTCAAATTTGGTGTGCATATATAAGATCATCGATCCCCAGGGAGATAATTACTGCGGATTAGTGAGCAAATACAGCTGATTACCTACTTGCCTATAAGATTAATCAACCAGGCACGTACACTGAAGAATTGTATTTAATAATCTATCAGAATCTTAGTCTAAAAACTCCTGCCTAGCCCATCAATCGCCAGCCTCCTGAAAGTTCTTTGCTTGCAGCTTATTGTTTTATACAATCTCCCCTTAAATCTATGCACTACAAAGAGACACTCGACATGGTGTCACGATTTTCAGGGATCATTAGGCTGGATCCTTCACTTTTATTCAGATAGGTGCCTCCGGCTGTTCATTAGTGAGACAACCCTTCTTTTGGACTTTATCTTGTAGGCTTGCGCTGACAAGCTTGCTTAACACCAAGAGTCTTGACGGAATTGACGTTTTGGTCATTCAGATATAGGTTAGGTTAGTTTGCATTCACCAAACCAAAGAGGTGTACAACCAAGAGATTGGAGGACCCAATTATCTTCACTGATCTACAGACTAGACACGGATATAACAATTATTTGTAATGAGCGCTATGACCGGGAATCTAACTCGATACCCCAGGAGTTGCGATAGCTTCCACAAACACATTTTAAAAAGTGTGATATACATTTTTGTGAATCGTTGCCTGTTTTTGTTTCAATCTCATTTTAAATGTTGAACACCAACTTTAATATTCATCCCGGACTTACAAGCTGAAAGTAGCTACGAAAAGATGATTTGAATTTTTAATAACTTAAGCGAGCGATTAATTTTGAGACTTGAGCGAAAAATAAATTGAAAAATATTTATAATTTATAATAACTACAAATGTAATATGATGTCTCAAACTTGTATGTTTTAAGAGTGTACTTTTCATTTGATGAACACTCTTTTATAAGGAAAACTGCTCCTGTGTAAATTTTTTAAATTTCTATTGCGCGTAAAATACAAAAATAACTGACCGGTTTCTCTCTGACATATTTAGACTCATTTCATTAAACTTATTGACTCATTTCTTTTGTGAGCAGGGTTGGCCTAGTGGCTTCAGCGTGCGACTCTCATACCTGAGGTCGTAGGTTCGATCCCCGGCTGTGCACCAATGAACTTTCTTTCTATGTGCGCATTTAAAATTTGTTCGAACGGTGAAGGAAAACATCGTGAGGAAACCGACACGTCTTAGACCCAAAAAGTCGACGGCGTGGCGTGTGTCAGGCACAGGAGGCTGATCACCTACTTGCCTATTAGATTTAAAAACGATCATGAAACAAGATTCAGAAATCTGAGGCCAAGACCTAAAGAGGTTGTAGCTCCACTGATTTAGTTTATTAGATAAAAAATAGTATCGACTTAGTTACCATGGTAACAGTCTTTTCACGTATTATAATTGCCACATATGTTTAATATCAATGTTTAGAATATTCTGCTTCAAAACCAATATTCGTCGTCAGTGCCTGTGTCCACAATAAATAGGATTAATTAATGTTGTCCATAATAATTATGCTGGAATGTATTTTCGCGGCTTGTTTTGTTATCATTAAGCTGTGATCGTGTTTTGTTATTCTTACTAAATTCAAACTCTCACCGTCAAATATTTACGAGTTTGTTCAGGATTATTTTAAAGGTAAAATTGTATTGTTACCTAAAATTATAATCTAAAGTACGAGTATTTATTTGTTGATGATAAAAGTTTGCTTCCATTAAAAAAAATCATTGACTTTCTTGATGCTGTTACGTAGTGAACATCTTCAATCTGCTACTAGAACTAATACAATGACGTCCTAAATCGCGCTATCGAAGTGTTTCCGAGTTCACACATACATTACATATACACCGTTATTATTTTATAGAAATTCATTAAAAATATCAAATTGGGCTGAAAGCCCTTTTTTTATGCTGTCTAGAAATAGAGGTCTAGTCTGAATCCTCTCCCATCGAGACATTAACATATAGCAAATGCCCCGAAGACTTAAACGCTAGTGTTCTTGACTTTGGTTGCACACGGTTGGCAACACCGTTGATAAGACGTCAACAAAACTTCTCCCAATTAATTAATTAAATTTTAATTAAATTTGTTTATATTTTACACTTAATTATCGATAATATACTAAGTAATAATCAATACTTTGTAAGAACAGTGCCATTTTTCCATGTTAAGTGTGTAACGAGGTGCAAAACTGTGTATTGTATCAGAAAAGCTCGCTGTCAAACTAAGTTAAACTGTAACGGTAATTGTAAAGTGCATTATCATCTTAAACTTGCGTGTAAGTATATTGATATTATTTCTTTATCACACACGTTTACTACAACGGTGTCTTGGTGTTTATTGCCAAGGGATTAACTTGAACTGATTAACTTACAACCTCAAACTTTGCAACTCTTCTTCTAACTTTGACTTAACACCCATCTGATTTGTCATTTCTCTATTTTTTTGCATCTGGAATGGATAGAGTGATGACCAGAAGGGGTGCTGCTCGCTTGGAGGAATCAAAACTCCAATTAACATTACAGGAATTAAATAAATACAAAAATTTGTGTGAGGAGTTGCAAAGAGAACAAGATGACAATGAGAAGGAAGTGCTTCAAATTTTAAACAACAATACCAAACTCAAAAGTGAGATGGCTGAAATTCATAGCGAATTAGTAAACATCACAGAGGAACGGGATAAACTTAGATTATTAGTAGATCAATTTGATCAGTGCAGTGATGAGTTTGATTCAACTCTCAAGCTCAACGCTGACCTTAAAAGTAGATTAAGTGAAGCCCAAGAGACAATCCACAAAATGGACGGTGCTAACCAGAAAATCCAGGCACAATATACACATGCTCTGTTTGATAGACTGGTTGGTGCCGCTCCACTGCCTTCTGCCAACTCAGTTTTGGGAAATAATAACCAAATTGAAACGATAGACTTAACTTGTGATAACACAGTACAGAAAATAAGTTGTAGTCACAATAAGTTAAAGAAATATATTAAAATTAAGAAATCAATTAAGAAAACACAAAGATTTATAAAAAACAATAAAACTACCTGTAAAAACAATTTTAACTCATTAAATAAATGTAAACAGTTAAAATGTAAATTCGATCATAGAAAATTAAAATATGAGGCTGATATACAACACCTTCAGTCAGAGATTCTCCGTCTGCAGGAATCCTTGAACAGTATTAGTTCTAAATATGACACCTCACAAAAGGAAATAGGAGAATATATACTGGCAATGGATGGCTTGATAGATCTGTGTAGTGAGAATGAAAGGATGTTCAACTCCTTAGTAAACAGTCAAACATCAGACTGTAAAACAGATATGTCGGGTTGTTCACAGCCAGCTGTTTCTCTGGAGTCATTGCCACCTGTGACTCATTCTGCGGAGTTGTGTAATAGCCTCACAAGTACTTCCTTCGCCACACATGTAAACCTGAATGTGAAATCTAATGTAATAAACAAAAATCAAATAATGATATTTAGCGATGAAATGGGCAAAAACATATCTCATAAGTTATACCAAAATTTAGGTTCTCAGGTCATAAATTGTTGTATGCCTGGAGCTTCCTATAAACAAATATTAGATAAAATAGTAAGTAATAATTATTGCCCATCCACAACTATTGTACTTTTAATTGGG